TTTTTTTTTTTTTTTTTTTTTTTGGTGGGGGGAGGGAGATTCCTCTATCCCAAAGAAATAGGATGAGCTGATTAAAGGATCACAAGTTGTAGTATTGTATGTGCATGTTATATACTTCAGAAGGGCTGTTAATATTTTTAAAAATCAGTATAAGCCACACAGAAAAGGTATTTCCTGGCTTGGCAGAATGCTTTCCACAGTCAGATTTAGGAAGCTTTTCTGTTGTTCTTCATTTCTTCCATCATAAAGTGTCTAGAATAGGGGTAAGTCATAGGCTCCCAGAACTGGGCAGTACCTTGGCGAGCACGTGGGTAGGTGAGGTGGGGGGCAGTGTGGAAAGGACAGGGCCTTGGCAATCGGGTGTGTGTTCAAATCCCGGCTCTGCCACCTGCTTTGTGACATCGGCAACTGACTGAAACTTTGGGAGTCTGTTGCCTCACCTGGAAAATAGGGCTGACAGCCTTTACCCAGAGGACCTGGCTCATAGTACATGCTCAATAAATGGTTCCTCCCTCCCCAAAATGACAACCCAAAGCATGTAGGCAGTGGATGTGTACGGCGCTGGTGGGCTTGGCCACCTGAGGCCCCAGGTGAGGAGGGGCCTCCAGGTCCCCCCTCACATCTTTAGTGGTTTGGGCATCACCCCCAAGCAGGCTGAGGGCAGGCATCACAAACGCTAACACCACCCATCTGCTCAGCAGATAAACATCAGAGTCGAGGCCTGAAGACTCAGGAGCTGTCTCCATCCTTCCATGACATCTTAAGTCCCAGCAAAGATCATGGCCCGGGGCCAGAGCACAGACAGGACAGGGATGAAAGCAAGCTCACCCCCTCTTACTCCCCCGCCGTATGTCTCCCCTGCTTTGCCGAAATAGAAGAGACCCTTTCCAACCAGATCAACGAAAGTCTGCGTTGGGATGGCGTTCTCGCCGACCCAGAGGCAGAAAAGGAAAGGATTTGCATTTACAAGCGGAACCGGAGGAAGCGGTACCAGGTTTGGGCCCTGAGGGGCCTCCACTCTGGCCCCGGTGACGAGGAGGCCCCAGAGAACCCAGCCTACCTCTCTGACCAGACGGCGGCAGCGGCGGCCGGCAGCCCTCGCTGACAACCGAGCGCCCCAATCACTGCTTTGAAGGAAACCTTATCCCAAAGTAGCAGCTCCACCTGAGTGAAAGCCCACCTGTGATACGGACAAGCTTATCATTTATCCTTACCACACATTTATGTGTTAAAAAAAAAGAATAAAAATAAAAGGAAATCAGACCTACCTCTGAAGGAAGCATGTGTCTGGTGTGTTGATGAGCTCAACTCACCTTCCACCAAAACGCCGCTCAAGGCCCCAGAAGCCACAGCTCCTTCCTTAAGAGAGTAAGCTAGTTAATGAATAAAATTCTTTTCCAAATATCCTTTTTTTCTCAAATAAGCCGGCATCTCTTTGTTATTTAATTTCCCATCACAATTAGATATGTATAATCTCCCCCACCCACAAAAAAAGAGAAAGTGTGTAGATTGTATCAATTCTAAATTTTAAACTAATTTCATGGGTAAAATTCTTCACACAGCATGCTTTCAGAAGCCCAAGGAAAATGCCCCGAATTCCCTAAAGCCTTTTTTTTTTTTAAATTAAATATACTCCCTGCCCTATGTGGCCTTCAAAATAAGTGAGTTCCAGAACATCATCTTTGGGAGGTTATTACGGAAAGTCTCAAAAGGAATATTGCTTCTCTTATCAATATGGGCCTCCTCTAATCCCCCAAGACAGCATTTCAAGCAAAGTTCTGGAACATTAAAAGGGCCCTACAGGGCTTCCCTGGTGGTGCAGTGGTTGAGAGTCTGCCTGCCAATGCAGGGGACACAGGTTCGTGCCCCGGTCCGGGAAGATCCCACGTGCTGCAGAGTGGCTGGGCCCGTGAGCCATGGCTGCTGAGCCTGCACGTCCGGAGCCTGTGCTCCGCAATGGGAGAGG